CCGCTACTGACGTCTTGACTGTAGAANCTTAGTTTTTGAATTTTTAGTTTCTTTTCTGAACACAATGGAGACCGCTACTGACGTCTTGACTGTAGAAGTGCGGGATCGCCGGGAAGCGCCCTCTACGCCCCCTGCGCCCTCTGGGTTTCGGCCTCAACGATGGAGGGTTGTGAAGGCAGACAGAAGAAATCGGCGTCGAAGGCAGACAGCTGCAAGACCAGCAATTCTTCTCTTTTTCGCTTCAGTTGCTCTCTTCTCCGTCTTGCGCAGGGCCCTCAATGGGGTAAGCCGTCGATCCCCCGCTTGCTTCTCCTCTCCATTCGGCAGCTAATTTATTATTCTTTGCATCCTTATCAGCAACATGGCTGTTTCCGCCAGTGAAATATGACGCCTGTTTGTATGTCTACCTTTGGGGAATCAGCGCGATGCACAAACGCCTAGCCCACAGCGTTTTGTTGTTGGTGTTTCTGCTTTCTCTGTTGTCTGTTCTCTGCTGCCTGCATTTCGTTGCTTGTGGTGCATCTGTGTTTCCGCTGGATGATAAACGCTTCTTCTCATCTTGTATTTTGTGTTGTGTGGGTGCTGTGTTTGTGAGTTTCTGGGTGTCGCCTGCTTTCCTTTTGGCATTTGCTGTATACTGCGTGTATCCCGTTACGTATCTTTAGCTGCTCATTTCCACTGTTTTGCTGCGTTCTCTGATCCTTAGTCTTCTAATACACCTTCGAAAATCTCTACGTACCCGGCGAGCGGCGATGACGCTCTGTTTAGGACCCTAGATGGGAGGGGGGTTGAGCCCCTTGGAGCCTTCAAGGATTCTGATCTCTTTCCCAATATACACCACCCACCGGTGCGAATTCTTTGCAAGTTGCATTGCTCCCTGCAGTTTATTTTATCTACATTCTCTTCTTTGTGAAGCACTGTGGAGACATTCATGTAAAACGCAGCAACAAACAGGAGATATGCTTGGGCAGCCTTCTTTCTTTGACCCTTCTCCTCTGGGCCCCTTGAAGAGTAACAACGATTCGCAGGCTGCTGCTGCTACTGCTGCTGCTGCTGCTGCTGCTGCTGTTCTCTGGCATTCAGACACGGCAAATGCTTATA